TCCCGGGGTCCCGGAAAAGAGGAGCTAGAAGAGGGGGCTGGCAACTATAGCCTGCATACAAATCCAGCCCACCACCGGTTTTATCTATAAAGTTTCTCTATTGGCACAGAGCCACACCCACCATCTCCTGACGGCCCACGGCTGCTCCTGAGCTACACGGCTGCAGAGCTGAGGGGCTGTGATCGGCCCACGTGGCCACACAGCCCACAGCACTTACTGTCTGGCCCTTTACAGACAACGCCTGCTGACCTCTGCGTGAAAGGCAACAGGAGCTTGGGGGTGAGCGAGGAGGTGGAGAGGCCAAGGGGGAGAAGGGGGCAGTGCGGGGGAGAGGACAGAGCAGGGCAAAGACAGGAACAGACGGACACAAGGCGAGGACAGAAGGAAACACGGGAGGAAAGGGAAGAAGGCTGGAGGGAGAAAGAAGGGCCGGGCGGGGTGGGGGAGGGGCGGGGAGAGGGGCCCTCACCTCCGCCAGGCACCCAGAGTCCAGGGCGCCCCGACCCTGACACGCAGGCCAGCGCTCTCTCAGGCGGGCGAGGGACGCTAATCCGTCTACACCGTCAGGCCCGGGGGCTGTGGGGATGTCTTCCCCGCACGCACCTGGCTGCTCCCGGTGGTCCCCCAAGACAGCGGAACAAAACGGGGGCTGTGGGGCCGCGAGCAGTGCTCTGCTCTCGTCTGCGCTGCCATGTGCCCCCAAATGGTGCTTGCATCACAGCCTGAGGACGGATGAGCCGCCTGGAGGCTCTGAGGAACCCTTAACAAACGGGTTCTGTGAAGTTACGTAACTTCCTACCATCTGTCCGTATGTGACGCTCAACTAATAAACTCCTGCCAGGCGGCGTGAAGCGGCTCCTAGAGGCTCCAAGTGCGGCTCGTTCTCCGAGACTCTGAGACGTGAAATGCTACTGTTTAATAAAACAAGAAGAGGAAAACTGCCCGAAGGACACCAGCCCCGCCCTGCATGGCTCGGCTCTGGCATGGGGCCACTCGGACCTGGAGGGTGAGGTCAAAGCCAGGCACCTCTGAGCCTGTCTATCCCCTCTCTTGAGGCCGTAGGAGCAGACCCACAAGGGACGGCACAGGGGCCTGTCTTGCCCAAACCCCGACGTCCAGGCTCCAGCCTCCTGAGCCGCAGGCCTCTCCCCGGCTGCACAGGGCCTCAGAGGGGTGAGACAGGGTTCAGAGAGCCTGGGTGCCCCCCACAAAGGGGTCAGGCTGGAGATGGGAAGCAGGTCTGGGCCGGGCACCCCCAGGCTGCCCCAGAGCCTCACGTGCATGGAGAGAAAGCATCCGCCCGCTCCTTCCCCCTTTACCCAGCACTCCACCTGGAGCTGCACAGAAGCTCTCGGCTCTACCAGGAAACTGCTGGGACTGAAGGCAGGTCAGGCCAGCATCCGGGTTTTGTGACTCGCCTTAAAGGAGGCTCTGCCGACCCCTCTCCTGGGATCTCCTGGATCTCCTGGGAGGAGGACCGGCAAGCCACACATGGAGCACACCTGACCCACAGCCCACGGCTGCCACCTTGCTGAGGTGCCACCATGTCCCGTCTGAGCCCAGTCCTTCCGGAAAGGCCTCCGGGAGCTCAGCCTCCCCCTGGTCCATGGGGAGCACGACCATAGTCATCACAACGGCCAGGGCAGTCCCCACAGGCCAGGCCTCTGCCACCCACCCTCGGCTGGAGGGCTGAGCACGCCCACCGGGCCTTGTGGAGTGAGGACGGGGGGCGGGGGGCAGAGCCCTCGCAGGGCTCCCTCCACACGGCCCATCACCGGCCTCGCGGTTCTGGGCACAGAGGGCACCACCTTCACACCCACTTCGCCCTGGGCTCCTCCCAGCTCTTTCCTGAACCCAAGACCTCCCCCCACCCCCGCCAGCCCCCTTCCTGTTCTTCGCTAATGGGCTTAGCTCCTCATGTTGGGGTCACATTCTCCCTAACCCAGACCTCCTCCTGGGATGAGACCCAGTCCAGGGGAGCCGCCAGCGGCCACCAGAGGGCCCCCCCACAGGAACCCCCCCGCCCCCGCCCCCGGGGATCCCATGGCCAGCGGGGGCTGGAGGCAGGCGCTGATGGGAGGTGGGTGCCCCCGTCAGGGCAGCACACCCTCCAAGGTGCCCGGGGAGCCCCCCTCCGGGCCCACGTGAGAACAGCTGAGACACGACCGTGGGGCGGCCCCCCGACGGCCCGGCTGGGCGAACCCAGGGAGCTCGCTGATGGGGTGACGGGGCCGCTGGCTGCAACGCTCAGGAATGAGGCGAATATTCCCCAATTTGCCCAATGTTTCCCATTTCCCCAATTTCTCCCCTTCTACACCATACTCCCTCCCACCCTCTGGACACTGTAGAGAAAAGCCTTCTGCCGTGTACGTGTCTCCCCGCACCTGTCACTTCTGTGCCGCTACCGAGTGCTGGGAGAAACCCCTCGGGTCCTGGAGCCCCGGCCCTCTCTCCTCGAGTGCACAGCGAGGTGGCCGTGAGCGGTCCGAGCTCTAAGAGGACAGTGCGCACCACCGGCAAGAGAACGAGGGCAGAGCTCCCTGGAAGGCCGGAGTCCCACACGCTCCCTCTTACTCCACGCTCAGTCCTAACCCTAGAGCCAGGCCTGACGGCAAAGGCCCCTCTGCTCCAGCAGCGCCAGCTCGAACATGAACTCAGGCGCAGGGTCCTTCCTGTAGGAGGCTCTCTGAGGATCCCGCCAGCCCAGCCCAGCCAGGACCCCTCATCCTCATCCTGCACCGGACAGCTGGCTCCCCCAGCCCCCCACGGAGGCAGCTTCTCCCAGCCAAGCTCCCGCAGCTCGGGGCCAACCCAGAGCCACACAGCTCCAGCTGCCAGTGGCTCCTAGTTGTGCGGGGGGCTCCTGGGGGCCTATGCTTGGCGGGGCCTGGTACAGATCAGGTCAGCGGATGGCTGGGGAGGAGGGAAGCAGGAGGGAGGGGAAAGGACATCCTTGTCCCAGTACAGGTTCCCAGAGGGCTGGAAGGAGACAAGAAGGGGTCTCGGTGACGTGCAGGAAAAAGAACCAAGGCTGAGGAGAAGCGCCTGTGCTGTCCGGGGTCCCTCGGTACAGTCCGCATCCCACCCTGCTGGGGGCCTGAACCAGGGAGCAGGACCGGCCGGCTTTGTCTGCTGCCACCTGGTGGAGACCGGGAGGCGTACAGCCCTCAACAGGAGCAGACCCAGGCCTGACCCACAGGGCACAAGGAATCCAACCACGACCTCCACTTTCCAAAGGTGATAGGTCTTCCCAACACTTGGAGTCAGTCAGCCTTTCTTCAGCTGCCTGCAGACACTCCAAAAAGGCCAGGGGACAGTTTATTAGCCTGGAGCATTTATTAATCAGGAAAGCATAAATGATAACCACGATGAGATATCGTTTTATGTAGTAGTGTATTGGTGAGGATATACATCAGTGGGGACAGTTGTAGTAAGAGTATAAATGGGCATAATCATTTTGGAAAACAATTGGACTCTATCTTAAAAATTTGAACAGCCACATACACAGTGATCTAGCAATTCTAGTCCTGGGTATATACACAATAGGAATAATACCACTTGAGCAACAAGAAGATAAGAACAGGAATTTTACAAACAGTATTACTCATAATAGCAAAAGTCTGGGACCCAAGTATCCATATTAATTAGAATGGACAATAAACTGTCATAGTCATACATTTTGGAGATCATGGTATATCAGTGTATAAAATGCTTTTCCGGGCTTCCACCCCCCCCGCAATGGATGGCCTCGCTGGGATGGCGAGCAGAGCCCGAGTCCAGAACACTGAGGCTGGTCCCAGGGTAACCCCCAGCCTCAAAGATGGGGATCTCAGGTCCTCTGTCCTAACACAGATCCGGGGTCAGTGCAGCCTGGGTAGAGGGCGGGAGGCCATCGGCACCCGTGTCCAGAGAGCACAGGGCAGGGACGGGAGTCCCAGCGTGGACGGGGCAGGGCGGCTGCCAGGGCTGGGAGGCCATTCCTCTGCCCCTCCTCTGTCTGGTGCCTCCCGCCCAGCGCCTGGGCTGGCCACGTGAGCCCCTGTGGCGATGATGACGATGGAGAGGAACAGCCGTGGCGGTGATGCTGGCAGAGCCGGTGATGTCCACCCCCCCGAATTCTCCCGTAAGTCTGGGAGCTGGAAGGGAAGGCTAAGTGACCACCCCGCTGCACTGCTGACCACAGAAAGGGGAGAAGGGGTCAGGCACTTTCACTACCAAAACCAGGACAGCCCCAGGCAAACCGGAACGAGAAGGCTCCCTGCAGGTAGGACTCAAGGGGAGACAGGGAGCCAAAGGAAGTCAGTGCCCATCCGCCAGACACCAGGGGCGGGGCTGTCCCCAAGCCGCAGCCTCGGGCAGGGTAAGGCACGGTGACCGCGCTGGTCAACGAGTTCCGAGGTCACTGACAGCCCCTCATCGCCAACACGCAAAAAGCCTCAACATATGGCATTGGAGGTGCCAGAACTGCCAGCCTCGTAATGAACTGGAGCACACACGGTGCCAGACAGGAAGGATCTCTTAACGTAGAAAGCGCCGGGGACGCCAGGGCGTCGGGGGGAGCCTTCCCCGCGAACCCCTCTTCACGGGGAGCAAACGTGTGGCGGTAAAAACGCCATGGAAGCGCCTGTACCGACAAGGCTGTGCTTGCGGGGGCTGGAGGCGGCCCTCCCCAGCAGGACTGAGGTCTGCACGCAACAGCGTCCACAGCGGCCCCCCCCCCCCCCCCCCGGAGGCCCCCCCCCCCTCTTTTTTTTTTTTTTTTTTTTTTTTTTTTTTGGTACGCGGGCCTCTCACTGCCGTGGCCT